CATGAGTCTAGTTCTTCTCACTCCACTATAAGTAAGTCAACTAGAAATTTTGTTCGGAACTACTGTTTAAATTTTTCTTCGTAAAACATATTTCTGTTGTCAAGTTTTTTTCTTTTTGTTGTTGTTTTGTATTACAACTTACGATATTGTATGCATGCGTACATAGATGGTATTTGGCTAGCAACCTATCAAATGTCAGAATTCTTTTTGTAAAGTCATAAATTTTGATATGTTGTTAGAAAAAAAGTAGAAAATTCAAATGTATCGGCAACGAAAAGAAGAAAGTTACACAATGGCTACCTTACAACACCTTTTGCAAGGGAGGAGAAAGAACTCTCTGCTACAAAATATAGACAAGACTCCAACACACTTACATATGTATGTATATATGTAATGAAATATACATATGTCCATAAGGAGAAAAGTATGTTCAATTTTTTTTGGCTCCCATAAAAGTTATTTGCAGTAGCACCTACTTACCTTTGTACACATGCATATGTAATTGTTGTTGAATGTGTGTGCGTGTGTGCCACAACAAAATATTTTTGTTGTTAGTGCAATTGTTGTTGAAAACTATTATTTGTACAGCATTGTTAAGTTGTCATTCTGTCTAAAACATCGTTCGTTCTCCATTCTGCCATAATGTCATCTCGACTATCTGTTTTTTTTCACTTATTACACCAACACAATCAGTAAGGATGTGTGTGTTGGAGTAGTTGGTGTTAGTGTTTGTTACAATGCTGTTGCACTTGTATTAGAACCTGTCACATGTTATGAATTATGATAACTGCAAATAGTTTGGCAACAAAAACAGAAATATTTTCCAAGTCTTTTTTTGTTTTTGGAAATTTATGAATGTTGAAAGATACATTATGTTGAAAAATTTTGGGATTTGGTTTGTAGGTGTGTAGGAAATTTACCTGCAATCTGAGTATGAAAATATGTGATATTTGGTATATTAGCAATGGCCAAAAATTTCGAAAAATAAGTTATGAAGAAATAAAAATATTAAACTTCAAATGGGTTTTCAGAACGTATGTCATACTCAGGATATTTGGAGTTTCCGACAGATCTGTCGATTACCGTGACATGTGAAGGATATTTCAAAACATGAACCTATATTGAACAGAGGAAACGAAACAAGTGAAAAAGCGTTAAGTTCGGCCGGGCCGAACTTTGGATACCCTCCACCATAGATATACGGGCAGGTACTAGAAATGAAAATATAGGGAACATGTCAAAAAGTGGACCTATACCGACATTTCTAAAAACGGATTATGTAAACCATAATGTAAACAACAATACAAATTTCAGAAAATGTTAATGGATAATTATACCTCCAGCCTTACAGCTAATGACGGTGTATACACTTTAACACAATGAAAATGTGCCTCATCGAAATATTGGTTCTAGACCCCATGTTTCTTTGGACCAAATCCGTTTCAGTAAAGTTGGATTTCATTCAAACCTCGCACATCTTATTATTTCTTCCAAACTTAGTTCAAATTCGAAGATGGGGAATATCGGTCCACTTCTTCTGGTACCTCCACACAGGGGCTAAGTCTAAATGCGGCTATAGTTCATTCGCTATCCTCCGCAGGTGAAATGATTACAACTGAGTCTTAGAACCAAAATTAAAACGCGTAACAAATCAGATAACTATTTTAATATAAAACCAGTGAGCTGAGTAGTATAGTCGGACAGGGCCGACCATATGATACCCTACACAACTACCACGAAAAGCACACTTTCGGCGGTTCTATATTCTGAGCCTGGGCAATATTTCGTAATATTTGCACCCTTTTTACAGATTATAGATCAAGAACTCCTATTTGTAATTCTTGCATATTTTCCAATTTTTTTTTTTCTTGAAGAGAATTTTTACGCCATACAATAAAAAATTGGTCACTTTAGGTTTTGGTTGATTTGACCTTCGGAAAATTGACCGATCATCATCTAAACAGCCGCTCTAAGTATTTAGCCAGATCCCCTTCACCTTGTAAAATATATGATGTTCTGTATATAATAATTGCCTCTAAAGCGACTAGAAAATCTGACAAAATTAAAGTTTTCTCGTTTATTGCACTCCCTGAATGAAATCTCAACTTCACCGAACACTATAAGCGTCGTACTTGATCATAATCGGAACTTCTTTTACAATTTCAAAGCGATCAGCGCGACATTTCCGTCCTCTAATGGGGTAATAGTAATAATATGCACATAGTCACCTTTACTTAATTACGCATAACTCCCGCATCGGAGTACATACAGCCATAAAAATTGGTATCAATTTCAAGGTCAACAACTCATCTTGTTCATACTATCAACATTTCGAGTATATGTCCTTCAGGAGCAAGTATATACGTCGCAGAATAAAAATGTTGTAATTTTTCACACAAAAGTCAGGGTCCATTTGACCCGCTAAATATTGACCGATCTTTATCAAAACAGGCATGCTTATTCTTAGCCCCGATCCCCTTCTCCATGTATAATTTCACGATGTTCGCACCATAACTGCGGCCTCTGTGGCCACAAGAAAAACGGACAAAAATTTAGTATTTGGTCCATTTCATCCCCAAAATATTAACCGATCTTTATCAAAAAAAATAGGGGTCTTCATTGGCCAGAACCCATCCTACATGCAAAATTTCGTGAAGATTGGTCCATAACTGTGGCCTGTATCCTGTTTACAAATTATAATGGACAGACGGACGGACGGACACACATGTCTAGATCGACTCAGCTAGTCGAGATATGACGATCGGTATACTTAAAGGTGGGTCTAGGACCAATATTTCGCGGCGTTACAAACTTTTGGGGCTGCACAAAGCTATAATACCCTGACAACATAGTTGTGTAGGGTATAAAAAGGGGGTTATATGGGGACTACCCCAAAAAGGGGGCGAATATTAATAATTTTTGGTAGGGAGATTTGTTACCATATACGACTACAAAATACCAAATTGCAGCAAATTCGGTTGATAAACGCGTTCAAGAACCCCAAAATACCGAAAATTGGGGGTATCCTTATATGGGGGCTATCCCAAAAAATTGAACTATATTCATAATTTTTTGTGGGGAGATTTGGTACCTATTAAGAACTCAAAATACTAAATTACAGCTAATTCGGCGGAAAAATACGATCAAAACCCCCAAAATACTGAAAATTAGGAGGTACCGTTATATGGGGACTACCAGAAAAAGTGGACCTATATCCATAATTTTTTGTGGAGAAATTTATTACCCAATAGGAACCCAATATAGCAAATTTCAGCGAATTCCGTTGAAAAACGCGGTCAAGAACCCCAAAAAACCGAAAATTGAGGGGTTACCCTTACATGGGGGCTGTCTGAAAAAATGGACCTATATTTATAATTTTTAGTGGGGATATTTGCTACCCAATAAGAACTCAAAGTACCAAATTTCAGCGAATTCTGTTGAAAAACACGCTCAAGAACCTCAAAATACCGAAATTTTGGGGTTACATGGGGGCTGTCCGAAAAAATGGACCTATATTTATAATTTTTAGTGGGGATATTTGCTACCCAATAAGAACTCAAAGTACCAAATTTCAGCGAATTCGGTTGAAAAACACGCTCAAGAACCTCAAAATACCGAAAATTGTGGGGTATCCTTATATGGGAGCTATGCCTAAAAGTGGACCGATATAGCCCATCTTCGAACTTGACCTGCCTGCAGACAAAAGACGACTCTATGCGAAATTTTGGGGCTCTATCTCAATTCGTTTAGACGCTAGAGTGATTACAACAGATAGACGGACATGAAGTCGAGGGGTTTTACATGATTATCGCCTTGACGGCTTCAACCATGATGCACCATTGCACAGGGGTCGCGATACGATGCGTCGGCCAGCGCCCCTTTGGAATTACCCAGAGTTCTCTTAGAGAGTGGTAGCCCTCCACGGAGTTCTAGGTCTATCCCGCAGGTACCAATTCGAAGATCAGCTATATGGGCTTCACTTCCCTCTTGGTAAGGGGTTGAGGACTATCTTACACCTCTGCTGCTCTATGGGTCGCAGCACCCGGTTGAGAATGCAACACCACACCGAGCCGAAGCTCTACCCGCGATTTGGGTATAAACCACAACCACCGCGTTGCACCCAAAACAGGGGCCTCTCCATAGTCAGGCTAGATCAACAGATCTAGGGGCTCCTGACACCCGCGGCACCAGAAGAGTCTCCGGTCCTAACCACACACTCATCTCACATTCGTACTCACACACAGAGCAGACTCATTCATACAACACCATTCACACAAGCCAAGACTAGCACGCGTAGAGCTAGTGGAGAGAACACGACTAACATCCCATTGGCCCTCAACATTGGAGATACCCATGGAATCTAGATTCCGGAAGTCGTCGTAAAATGGACATGAGCACAATACATGTAGCCAGTCCTCGACTGGTGCCCCGCACCTACATGCTTCTGTGCCAGAGATGTTCCTTCTATACAAAAATGCATTTAAGGAACCATGTCCCGTCAACAAGTACCCCAAGTGAAGGCCAAAACCAAAATCGGGGTTCGTCTGAGCAAAAGTAACATCAGGAATGAACCTGAAAGTTACTCTACCATTCTCACTTTCATTCCATCTAGATTGCCATCTAGATGAAAGAATTTCTCGCAGCCGCGATTTGCGATCCTGGACGCTCATTCTCTCCACGTCGTCTACTGCCCAGTCAGAAGGCACAATAGGTAGACCCCTCTTGGCCAAGAAGGACACGTTTGCACGAATCACTTCAAGATCCAAAGGAGGAACACCCAGCAACACCTGCATGGCCTCAGTAGACACTGTGCGGCATACAGGTAAACAAGCCAACATCATAATTCGTTGGCATGAAAGTATCTTGCGACACCCCCAGCCTAACGCCGTCGTATACCATATGGGAGCGCCATAAGTAGCACAAGCTACGAAAAGACCCCCATACACAACACGCATTGCACGTCTACTGAGGCCCCATTCAGACCTCAACACACGACGAACTTGACCAACAATACTGCACATTTTCTCCTTTAAGCGATCTAGGTGGGGGATGAAATTCATCCTCTCGCCCATTGTGATGCCCAAGTATTTCAATTCGGTCTTATAATTAAGACCTCGACCATCAAAAACAACACTGGGATGTCGATTACGTGACAAGCTGCCCTTGAGCAACATAGTCACGGTCTTCTCCCTGGCCACTTCTACACCAACTCGTAAGCCCCAAGCACCGACAATCTCCATCAATTGTGAGCCAGACTGTTCCAACTCGGAACGAGACCTAGCCTCCACTAATATCAGGAGATCATCTGCGTACGCACATACCTTACAGGTGGAACTAAGCTGCCGCAGTAACGGATCCATCATCATGTTCCATATATATGGACCACAAATGGAACCCTGCGGGCAACCCCTAACGACATCTATTGAAACACTATTCTGGGCACCAACAGAGCACGCCACCCTGTCAGAAAAATAGCTTTTCCATAGCTTTATCTCTCGACAACCAACTTCCTGTAAACGAGCAATCACACGCGACCAGCATAAATGGTCAAAAGCACCCTTAAAATCGACAAAAATACCCAAAACGTATTTGCTTGTAGATCCCTCGACGCATTGTTTGACATACAGCCAAGCGTCTTCAATGCTACGACCTGGTTTGAAACCAAATTGAAACTCGGATTCTGTCCCAGCCAATCTCTCCTGCACACTGGCAGGAGGCTGATGCCTCGATAAGATCGAGGATTACTCCTGACCTTATCGGGAGATTTCAGAAGGACGATGACTTTCGCAGCCTTCCACGACCTCGGAAAAACACCTGAGCGAATACAATTACAGAGCAAAGTCTCCAGGTAGTCCGGAATGACCTTCCAGATGCTTTTACACATCTCTCCGGTCAAACCATCCAAATAGTCCTTAAAAACCTATACCTTTACAAATGTCCTTAAGAATTTTCTTAGGAACCCACGCCTTATAAAATAGTCCTTAAGAATTTTCTTAGGAACCCACGCCTTATAAAATAGTCCTTAAGAATTTTCTTAGGAACCCACGCCTTATAAAATAGTCCTTAAGAAACCACGCCTTATAAAATAGTCCTTAGAACCCCCATTCAAAATAGTCCTTAAAAGCCCACGCATTAAAAATAGTCCTTAAGAACCCACGCCCTATAAAATAGTCTGTGGAACACACGCGTAAAAATAATCCTTAGAACCTACGCCACATAAAATAGACATAAAGAAGTCACGTTTTAAAAAATAACCCTTAAAAAGCCGGACATTAAAAATAGTCTTTAAGAGGCCAATCCTTTAAAAATCGTCCTCAAGATGACAAGTCCTAAAAACCACCCATAAAAAATGTTTACTTAATAATCAACACCTTGAAAACATGGACCCCTATTTCCTCCAAGAATTCGCAATGCCAAATTACAGTTATAAATTCTGGATAAAACCTTTAAAATACCGAAAATAGAACAAGATATATGCAAATATATAAGGGAATATAGAAAGAATAGAGAACTATGTCGCATATTTTCTGCAAACATTATGATCGTCCTCCATTAACTCAGAAGGCCATGTTACAGTCACTTAGTAACATAAGAATACTTAAAGCGAAGAGGGGTCTTTGTAAAAATTTCAAAAAACTAGTCGCTCTCCAACATGTCAGAACCCAAATCCCTTGATTTCAACGGATAGACGGACATGTCCACATCGACATATAATTTAATTCTGATAAATAATCTCCGGCGCAGATGAAATGCCTTATTATTAGAAGGTTAATAGGCAGTGAATAAATATTCTTGAATCAAGTAAAAAACATTTGTTTAGGTTCAGCAGGTGAAGGGTTATATCCATCTCCATGAGGTGGTTATTCGAAATAGACTTCTGTATGGAGGCTATGCCATGGTAAATTGCTAACATAAGAAAACGAAATATCTAACTACAGACACTCAGGTTGATTAAGGTTCTAACAAGAAACAAGAAATAACCAGTTTCTGGGACCAAATGCATAAACTGGCCAAAATCAACCGAAGGACACCACGAATAGGAAACTGATGCTCAGAAGTATAAGTCATTCCTTCCACTTCTTCGGAAGTGGCGAAATGGATTACGTCTCCGGGAGAGCAGACGAATATTAAAACCGCAAAAAAGAAAATTACCTTCCCTTCCGCTGATATAAAGAGAGCCATTAACTGAGAACGGCAAAGCTTGCACTAATGTCATGAAGGCAATCGCTATATTGGAATCTTTCATGAAGACCGGGAATCACATATCAATTGGACTTTACGAAAGAAGAAGAAGATAGTAGCAACAAAATTGGTAAGGAGCGCTATTTTTGGCAAATGTTGCCGGAAGGCGTTATATAGACGAGCTCTGGTATGAAGTGATTTACGACGAACGTCAAACCCTCAAAAAGAAAATAAGCTTCCATCGACTGATATCAACAGAAAGCAGGACCAATCCGAAATCAAATGAGACTATAACGAAAATCGATCGACTGAGGACGGAAAAGCTGGTCTATTATCAAGAAGACGAGCGCAGCATTGAAATCTTTCATAAATACCGATAATCCCAAATGGAAGTACCGGATTTTATGAAATAGGAAGATAGTAGCAAAAATTGATAAAATACGGTTAGGAGGCAATTTGCTATGCTGTGATCGACGTAAATAGAGCATCCAGAAAACTAAAATATGAGACCCATAATGAGGTGATGGATGCGGTAAATAATAAGATCATGCTGCAAGGAAGGAATCGATTTCGATAGCTGCGAGTTCAAAGAAGTATATCTAGTGCTAGAATGCCCAGAGAGCATAGAGGCCCTAAGAAAACTGGTAGCATGTATTGTCTCCTTAAGAGAGACAATCGAACTCAAGCTGGTAGGGAAGTAATTCACAACAACAAAAGTGCGGGAGCCGATGAAAAGATGACTAACTCCAAAGATGCTCGTTTACTAGAGGGTAATTGTGAGAAGCAATCTGGAGTGATCGGGTCGGGCTCCATTGGGTTCATCGGGTTAATACGGGAACTTTGGACTGTTAAAAACTAGGTCTCAGAATTAAACGGTAAAAATTACTATTTTTTTGCAAATAGGTTTCCGAACGAGAACTTTATAATATGCCATAAAAACGTGTGCTTCTCTTTATTCCGTTCGATGTGGCGATATCACCAAGATTTATTTACTGCGAAAATCAGAATAGGTATTTTCATAGACAAAGTACATGTCTGCATATACAAGGGCATTGTAGAATGCTTGTATACCTTTTAATATTGGATTTCTTGATCTTGTCCTTAATATTTACTCTCTTTGCAACACATCGACATATTCACCGGAAACTTCACAATGTATATATTCTTCATCAGAACAAAAAGTTACATCGATTTAGCCGTGTCCGTCTGTTACATGTTTGCAGAAAATAGTCTATATTGATCTAAGTTTTGATTAAGCCTCCACATAAAGATCATGCCCTATTTATACCCTTCACCACACTGTAGTACATGGTATTATTTCTTTGTGCATATGTTTGTAACAGGTAAAAGGAAACGAGATAGACACAGGGTTCCTTTTGAGAATATGCATAGAATCAGTTTCTGAGTCTATTTATGCATGTCCGTCCGTCTGTCTGTCCATTTTAATTTGTAAACAAAGTACAGGTCGCATTTTTGATCCGAATTGGATGAAATTTGCCTCAGCTCATTTATTTGGCCTAAGGACGAACCCTATTGAAATTGGGAAATATCGGTTCAGATTTAGATATAGCTCCCATATATATTTTTGTCCGATTTAACGTAAATGGTGCATCAAAGTATATCTTTCGATTTGCACGCAATTTGACATAGCGTACTGAATAAGGTCAAGAATGATATGTGCTAAGTTTAGTGTACCAAAGTCTCTTTATATCCTTCGATTAGTATGAAATTTGACATAGCGTACTGAATTGAGTATAGAATAATGAGTGGTAAGTTTCGGGAAAATCGGTTCAGATTTCGATATAGCTCCCATATATATTTTCGTCCGATTTTATGTAAATGGTGTACCAATGACCCTATATATCTTTCGATTTGCACGAAATTTGGCACAGCGTACTGAATAAGTTTCCTGAAAATTTGTCTAGATTTAGATATAGTTCCCATATATTTTTTCGTCCGATTTAACGTAAATGGTGTACCAATGTCCCAATATATCTTTCGATTTGCACGAAATTTGGCATAGCGTACTGAATTAAGAGTGGAATGATTTGTGTTAAGTTTCTTGAAAAGCGGTCCCATACATATATTTTCGTTCGATATATAAATGACTCACCAAAGACCCCAAGGTAGGCCGATTTACAAAAATTTTGGCACAACGTACTGAAGTTAATATACCCTACCTTGAAAAATTCGACGTCTGTTAGGATTCATTTGTTGATATACCCACAGTGGTGAAGGGTATCTTATAGTCGGCCCCGTCCGACTTTACTGCTTTCCTTACTGGTTTTATATTTGGAATTCTTATTGTGTTGAAAATCTCCCTAACAAAAATCTGAAATATTGACCCAAGCTTGCTGATTTATCAGGTTTTCTTGAGTATTGTTGAATTTTACCAACGATGCACTGTGGGTGAAATTGAAATCCAGCGGGAAAAAATGTGCTCATATGTACGGGGATAATTCAATCGAATATAATTTATATAATTATACCCTCCACCATAGTATGGAGGGTATATTAATTTTGTCATTCCGTTAGTAACTCCTCGAAATATTCATTTCCGACCCTATAAAGTATATATATTCATGATCAGGGTAAAATTCTAAGACGATCTAGCCATGTCCGTCCGTCTGTCCGTCCGTCCGTCTGTTGTAATCACGCTATCTTCTGAAGGAATTGAGATAGGGTGCTGAAATTTTGCATAGGGTTGTCTTTTGTCTGCAGGCAGGTCAAGTTCGAAGATGGGATATATCGGTCCACGTTTAGGCATAGCTCCCATATAAGGGTACCCGGCAAATTTCGGTATTTTAGGGTTCTTGAGCGCCTTTTTCAGCCGAATTCGCTGAAATTTGGTACATTGGGTTCTTATTGGATACTAAATGTCTCCACAAAAAATTATAAGTATATGTCCATATTTTCTGGTAGCCCCCATATAACGGAACCTCCTAATTTTCAGTATTTTGGGGGTTTTGGTCGTATTTTTCCGCCGAATTGGCTGTAATTTAGTGTTTTAAGTTCTTAATAGGTACCAAACCTCTCTAAAAAAATTATGTATATAGGTAAATTTTTTCGGGTAGCCCCCATATAAGGGTACCCCCCAATTTTCGGTATTTTGGGGTTATTGAGTACGTTTTTCGCTGAACTTTGCTACATTGGGTTCTTATTGGGTCCTTAATGTCTCCACAAA